AAAAAAAAAAAAAAAAAAAAAAAAAAAAGAATTTAATTCTGGAGAAGGGTGTTTACTTTGGCTCTTCTTGGGAAGCAATATCGGTGCTCTAAGGAAAAGTTCTCTTTCTTCAGCACCCTGGTGGAAAACTTTATTTCTTTAATTTAAAACAATGATTACAAAGACATTAGGTTTTATTTATTATTATTATTTATTTATTTAAAAGATGACCAGTAAGGGGATCTTAACCCTCGACTTGGTGTTGTCAGCACCACGCTCTCCCAAGTGAGCTAACCGGCCATCCCTATATAGGGATCTGAACCTGTGGCCTTGGTGTTATCAACACCACACTCTCCCAAGTGACCCATGGGCCGGCCCGAGACATCAGGTTTTAGTAGGATGTTATATTTTACAGTGGAGTGGGGGGGAAAAAATCACCATTCTGTACTTTGTTTCTGTTTTTTGCTCTTTGTACAGGTATCGTTCAAGAAGACAATTACGAAAATGAAGTTGAAGACTTTGGTGAACTCCGTCCTAGAAAGCGTTCGCGGAAATGTGGAAAGCAGAGAAAATACTAATGTCCATACAGCTGCCGGCTCCTAAACCTTCAGAACATTCCATCCTGACTTAGAATTCTGAGTGCTGGGGCAAAAGAGGAAAAAATGTGAATTAGCATTGAAAAAAAATGTAGGGGAGTCTAAAGACACCTTTGCTTTTTGTTCTTGTTATTTCTCTTTCAGTGGAAGCTTAGGGTCTAATTGTTCTCTCACCTGAAGGGACCTTGGGACTCCTAACCCAAGCCCCCAGGGTCTATGGCTCATCCCCATCATGACATACATGAGTCAATAGTAGGGGACTAGGTGTTTAAGACAGACACCCCTCACCTCAGTTGCAGCTGCTCTGGGCCAGAAAATCCCTCTACGGAGTCCCTCATCTCCTGCCTCACTGCTGCAACCTCAAGTTGTACAAGAGCTGTGTGTGCCCAGGGTCCATCCCTACCACCGGCCACCCCTGAGCCCAGGCCATGTTCTAGTCATCTCTGGGCCCACTTATAGCATCGTTCCTATGTTACACATGTTAGCCTTTTCTCTCTGTGGCAACTTTTCTGCCTTCCCTCCCTCCATTTTTTGTGACTATTCTCAGCTACTTGTGCAAGTCACAGTTAGACTACTTCAGAATGTAGTCCATAATTCACCCAGGGTCCTTTGGACATCCTTTCCCTAGAGGGAAAGGCTAGGAAATGTTGCTGGGGGCATTCCTGACCTGCTTCTCCAAGGTGGTCCTAACTTTGCCTTGGCCATGGTGCAGACACACTGAAAAGTGTTTTGTTTGTAGCCCTATACATCTAGTTTTCTTGGTTCTCTCTGGCAAGTTTGCTACCCTAGTTTAGGTTGACATTCTGATGAGTTCCCACCCACTGAGCTCACCACAGAGGGACGGTGACCTGCAGAGCTATAGGCTAGGAACAAGTGGACAGAGGAAGAAGCCAGCCTTACAATGCCAATCCGTTGGGATTTGGCTGTGAATCACTGCCACGTGGCTGGTAGGCCCTGTAAGAGGGCGGAGGATGGGCCTGTTTGAGGAGGCTGTTGCTTCCCGCCCCTCCACCCCACTGAGCCAGCAGCTGCCAGTATGGTCCCATTTGAGAAGGCTTCATGCCTCTGATGGCTCCTGCCCACCCTTACCCCACCCCTCAGCTAAGCCTGGTGAGAAAGGTCAGGTTCACCTTGGTCTTTGGTTGTTTTTTCCTTAGAACAGAACCAGCTTTTTCTCATGTTGCTGCTGCTTTTGCTGCTCATTGCTTTCTCCTTATTGTCTTTCTAAATGACTCTGTTTCCTTGAACTGTTTACGTTTTTAATTTTTATTAGGTTAGGTTTATTAGGTTTCTAATTTTTATTCCAGGTATTTTTTATAAACTTTACTTGCCAGGGGAAAAAAAAGAAAGAGAAAAAACCAATCAAATCTTGCTGTATTATCACATTTTTATAAAGTTCAATCATTTCTCTTAACCGCTGCTGTCATTGTGTTTGTTTCCAATCTCTACTCAGAGAGTAAAGAGGTAAATCCTGAGCTGGTTCCTTCTGCTTAGCTGGTTTATGCAGGCCAGGGCAGAAGCCTATGGGCCTTCTGAAATTAAGAAATCCAGAGACAGAAATATACCTCAGTCCAGGGACTCAGATGGTTGGAGTGTTTTTGAGGTACTGCCTTGTACACACTTTCCAATTTGGGTGCTTCTGAGCATGCAGGATTTGGACTATATGGAGTTTTGTCAATGCCATGTACCAGGGCTTCCCCCTAACAAGGAACATTGTCCTGGGAGGCAGGAGACCTGGAATTGGAGCCTCCTTCTGCCCCTAATGAGCTGTGTAACCTGGGGTGAGTTAAATCTGTTCAACACTGAGTGCCTAAATGTGACACCACCTTTGGGGGCCTCATGATCTGGTGTAGGAGAGAGATGGAGATGTGAGAAAACAGTGGTAGTAGAAATGTGTGTTGCATGGGGTGGTAGCATTACATAACCCAGCTGGGCCTCAGTTTCCCCTTTTGGGAAATTGGTTTATGATCTCTTCCTGCCTGACACAAAGTGGTTCTGTAAGCTGTTGCCATAGATTTGAACACCCTCAGGTCTTGGTGCTGTGAAGTCAGTGTTTTCTTGTGTCAGGTAAGCAGGACAGTTGAGTCTTAGACAGCAAAGTGATCTTGTTCAGGATTAAAGAGCTCAGAACTGGGGACAGATGATCCCACTGCCTTCTATGTGAATGTCAGAACTGAACTGTCCAATAGCATTAACTGCCTGAGATCCAGACCCCAACAATCCATCTTCTCAACTTGTAAGAGTCCTTAGATTGTGGGTGTGGAGGTTGGGAGAGGGGAATGGAATTCAGCAGAAGGATCAGTAATTTCCATTAGTGACCTGAGTCTAGTAGCAGGAGCTTTGGTGTAGCAAGCCTTGCCTGGAAGTCCAGGATGGGGATGTGTGTCAGGGGTACCCAAGACTACTTTTAGGTTCTGCAGTTCACTAGGAAGGCTCACAGGACTCGGCATGTAGTTGTACTCATGGCTCCGATTTACTATAGTAAAAGCAAAATCAGCAAAGGAAAAAGGCATGGGGGTAAAGTCTGGGAGATACCAGGTGAGAGCTTCCAAGGGTCATTTCCAGAGTCACATAAGACATGCTTAATTCTCCAGCAATGAGTTGTGACAACATGTGTGAAATGTTGCCCATCATGGAAGCTTATTAGAGACTTAGCACCCAGGGTTTTTACTAGGGGCTGGTCATGTAGGCATCTTCTGCCTAGCACATATCAGTCAGAGTCTCAGAGGGAAAGCAGGTATTCCATATAAATCATATTGTTTGTACAATTTAGGCACTGTGAGCCACTCATCAGTTCTGGGAATGGTGGGAACCCTCCTGAAGTCCAAGTTCCAGACACCGGCCAAGGGCCAACCATGTAAACAGGTCTTTCAAAGGACAGCAGTCAGGCCTGCTGTGTTAACTCTTTTCTGCACAGAGGGCTTCCATAAAGTTGGGGTTTTGTCATGATCACTCCATTAGCTTGCCTTATGGGAATCCCTGTGTGTCCAGCTGCTGGATGAGCACCTATGTACCCACTATCTATCTCCCCAATCAAGGAGTGAATTTTGGGGGACAGTTCATCTTCTAAAAATCCATCATGAAGAAGAAATCATTTTCCTAACTGCCTTAGACATAGATTCCACTTCCTTGCAATCAGTGTTAATCATTCAGAATGCTGTTTGGTTTCCTGGAGGTCTGCTGGTGAAGAGAGAGGGCCTTATACCTCTGGTGGCTGTTCTTTCCCACATTCCCACCAACACACACATTCTTTGGCCTGACCATTCTTAGCCAAAAGGCCTTGTTCTCCTCAAATTCTCTGAGACATGAGCAGTCTTCCAGTGACTGAAGGAAGGAGAAAAACTGACATGGGAGCTGACAGCATCCCAAGCTCTGTGCTAGCACCTCAGAACCTTAGCTAATCACTGGTGGGGAAACTGAGGCCCAGATGATGTGGCTTACCCTGGGTCAACAGAGCTGGTTTGGTGCAGGGCTGAGACCTGGACGTGGGTTTTCCGATGCTAGCTGCACTATTTCTACTGGAGACTTGGGTACCAAGCTCACAACAAGTGCCAGCAATTCTTTTTGGGAGCCCATCACTCCTGCCCATTACCAGTGAGTAGAGTGTGCCAGCCCTTGGGCATTTAGACAGCTATTCCCTTCAACCTCTCACTTGTCTTTTGGCATTAGTGTTTTCTTACAGGAAAATGCAATGCCTGGCAAGGAAACGTGAGTCCTACTGTTATCCACCCTAGGCAGCCTGGCCTCTGACCTCCAAGGACAGGACAAAGCAGCTGCCCACAGTCATTCCCAGTGGATAGCATAGTGTAGCACAGCACTGCTCCAAGCTGCCGGCTTTATTCTCTTTCATGACTGTATTAGTTCATTTCTGTTGCTTATAACAAAATACTTGGAATGTAAGGGTAATTTGTAAGAAAGCACAATTTATTCCTTACAGTTTGGGAGGCTGGGAAGTCCAGGGAACATATCTGCTGAGGGTCTTCTTTGGTGGCAGCTTTACAGCAATGCAGGGGTCTCATATGGCAGAAAATGGCAGAGCAGAGAGAGAGCTCCTCACGCACTCTCCTTTTAAATCCCTTATAACCATGCCCATGACCACTATTAAACCATCAACTTAATCATCTCTTCAAGGCCCAACCTGTCAATTATTATAATAGGATTTCCTTTTCTCAACAGTTACAGGGGGGATTAAGTTTTGAGGGGACATTCAACCCAAGGCAACTACCCTGAGTATTGCAGTTCACATGCAGGAAACCCATCCCTGCACTCCTACCCCCAAACCTAGGGCTAAAGATACTGTAATTCACCTTTCCCTAGCCAGCCTGCCTCAGTTTCCCCAGAGTGGCCACTTGCAGTTCAAAATGAGCCCCAGGTTTCCTGGACACACTCGCCAGCACTGATCACAAGAGTATCCTGCTCATGGAACTCTGTGTAACTTATAGCTTATGTTACACTTGCTCTCAGATCACATGGAAAGAGGGAATATTAATGCTCATAGGTTCTGATTGTCACCAAGGTCTCCCAGTGGTGGCCAGAGTGCATCAGATATTAATTTCCCTAGTACTATGGAGTGGGTTCTTCTGGGCTCCTCCCAAGGGGCTGAGTTCAGTGCTGCCAGGTAGGCACATGGCTTGTGGAGATGTGAGAGAGATGAGGCCAGGAGATGGATGAAGCCAGGCTTCTACTGAACCCTCTGGAGCTCACAGAAGGGGCCTTCCAGGCCTAGACAGAGAGATCACTCCTGAGACCCAGGAAAATGACCAGGGCCATAAACACTCTTAAAATCTCAACAAAGCAATTTCCAGGTTTTACCCAATATACATATGAGGTATGATAGAGTTTGGATGTGTTGACCCCCCAAACCTCATGTGGAAATCTGATCTCCAACTTGGCAATGTTGGGAGTGGTTTGGGTTATGGAGGCGGAGTCCTTATGAACAGATTAATGCGCTGGGATGGTGGGGTCTTGAATGAGTTCTCTCTCCTGTAAGAGCAGGTTGTTTAAAAGGACCTTGACACTTCCCCTCTCTCTCACTTCCTCTCGCCATGTGATCTGCTTGTACCCACTGGCTGCTGCCACTTTCCACCATGAGTAGAAGCAGCCTGAGGCCCTCACTAGATGCAGCTGTCCCAGAATCATAAGCCAAATAAACCTCTGTTCTTTATAAATTACCTAGTCTCAGGTGTTCTTTTATAGCAACACAAAAACGGACTAATACAAGGTATTTCATTTTTATTTTTAAATGTTAATGGCATTGGATATGAATTTCCTGTGTTTGCATCTGATTTCTGTGTGGCTTTGATAATCCTGGGATTTATTGGCTTAACAACAGTGTTAATACTCATACAAATGAATCACAGTTGTGCAAGAAGTGTCACATTTTATTTAAATAAATTCAAATTCTACTCTAAGCCCTATTCCCTGTGTAGTGTGAAATTCAACCTAAGTCATTATTAGGACCTCTGCTTCCTTGGGGTCTCTTAAGTATTAGGAGGTGGTACGGGCAAAACGAGGGAGGCCTCTCTCCTTCAGTTCACCGTGGCCGCCATGGACACACTCTGTCCAAGCTGGCAGGGTATCTGAGAACATGGGCAACTTTTCCCCTTCCCACCTGAGCTGAGCCCGGAGGCATCTGGTCTGGCCTCTGTAGCTGAACCATTGATCCATCCTCCTGAAGTTTTCTCACCTCCCCACTGGATTGCCATGATGGTCAGTTCAGATCCCTATTGATCATAAAACCTCCTCTCACCCCTGAATTAAAGGAGCCTGAAGTCCTACCTCCTTTTTTGAAAAAGGGTGAGGAAAATATAGAGATAAACACAAATTCATAGCTGAATAAAGAGTTGATGGTTAGGTAGACTTCAAGGACGGCCACTATCAATTCCTTTCCATCCTGTGTGTGTGTGTCAGTCCACCCATCTGGAGGCGGATTCTGTCTCCCCTCCCCCACGACTTGCTTTGTTCAATAAAATGAAGCAGAAGTGACAGTGCCATTTCCGGGTCTGGCCTTTAAGACACCTGGCACCTTCTGGGGTAACCCAGCTGCTGTGGAAGAAATCGAGTACCTTGAGGCACCATGCCCCAAGGTATCATCAGTGAGTGAAGCCCTCTTTGATGTTTCAGACCAGGTGCCAGCCGAATGTGGCTGAGTTGGGGACCCTGGCTGATGCCAAATGGAGCAGAAGAACCACCAGCTGAGACCTGCCTAAATTTATGACCCTCAGAATCATGAGAATTAATGAATAATTATTGTTTTAAGCTACCAAGTTTTGGGATAGTTTTTATGCTGCAATAGGTAACCGAAACAAGGTTGTGCTGTGTGTCAGGTACTATTAGGCATGTTTCATCTAAGATATCTTAAATCTTACAATAATTCTCCAAAATATAGAGTAACTACTAATTTACATATGTGTA